AGGCTGTGCCTGCTTGCATTACAATGAGATAAGAAGATGTTGCATGGGCTGTGGCTATCGGCAAGCCTATAGGTAGTCAGTAAGCACCTGACCACATTTAGTCCTGTCCCAATGCTTTCTGGATTGACAGCACTTGCCTCTGTAGCTGAAACCCTCTCACTATAGGCTGCAGTGTCTGGGAGGGGGTGCATATGAGACACAAATGAAGGAGGATTTGCCGGAGAAGGTAAAGGATTTTTTTTTTTCATTCCTTTATGGGGCATGTACATTGCTTGAGTGAGGCACAAGGTCTACCTGTGCCCAGGGGCGAGGATGGGAAACTGTGCCCTAACCCAGTGGTGTATTTAGGTTTTGTGCTGCCCTAGGTAACACAAAAATCGGACCCCACCCCCCCTCCACATCAGAGAGAGAGCCTGACACCAACCCAGGGGTGGACTGACCATTTGGAAACTAGGGCAGTAGGGGGCCCCATGAGATGCCTCTGGTACCTTTTTCATAGGCTTTTTTGAGTTTGGGCAAGGATACAGGGGCCCCATGATCCCCTATTGCCTGGGGGCCCCATGAGTTGTCAGTCCACCCCTGCACCAACCAACACCAGACCCCCCCAACCATGCAGAGGGAGCCTGACAGTGACCAACAACACCCCTGCCTCATCTCCCCTGCCTGAGAGAGCCTTCCACTAGCACAACACCCCCTTCACAGAGACCGAAAGAAAGACACTCACCTTCACAGCTCTGGACATTTCCAGGAACGACAGTTGAGCTCTGCATACACCATCAAGCAGCCCACAGCCTCTCTCAGATCCCACCTGGTCCCCATACCGCATATGCCCCTTCTTCCAGGGGGCAGTACTGCCCCCCTAAAAAATGCCACCCTAGGCAAATGCCTTGTTTGCCTTGTAGTAAATTCATCCCTGCCCTAACTTAGATGTTAACCAGCCACTAAGGCTTCGTTCACATGTGTGGCCAGGGGGGGGCAGGAAACCAGATGGTTGAGCTACGTTGTTTCCACCTCCTGACTGCCTGCCTGAACACTAACATACAACCACCCATGGCTGTACACATTCTGTGGCTGTGAATGTTGTGCTTTGTGGCTGCAGCAAAACTTTAAAGCTGCCAAATGCAACTAATGCAGTTCTATGGGGCCGCACCACAACCACACCACAATCACATGCAGTGCACGTGATTGCTGCGCTATAGTATGGCAATTATAGGGTTAAATCAGGCACCGAGAAGGCAAAATATCACCTCCTTGCCACCTTTTAAACACCGCTGGAAACAGATCTGAACATAAATTGCTTTTCAGAGGAGAGTAGTGTCTGACGCACATGTGAATAGGCCCGAAAGAAAAGGTAAACATTTTTGTGCATTACTTTTTTATTTATTGTCACGAGTAGTAAAAAAAAACAACATTTATTAATACTTGTTTTATTTTAGTCAAATATAAAATATTGTATTTAAATATTTTACATTTTCATTTACAGTCAGTAATAGCAGCTCTCAAAATTTTTTTCCAAGGTATCCTTTCCTGCTTGGCTGAAAACAGAGGTCAATAGCTCAAGATGAAATTTACACACCCAGCTGAGTGAGTCACAGTTGTGATTCCTCCCTTACCCTTCCTTACCCTAGTTTCACACCTAAGTGTTTTCTGCGGCGTGTTGCATTTTGCAGAAACGCAGTACAGTCCGTTTAACATGATTTCCTATGGGACAGATTAACATCTGCGCCTTTTCACCCGGTGCATTTTTTGGAAGGGGTCAGGGACTTTTTTTAACACAAAAAGTAGCATTTTTGGTTCTATAGACTTCAATGGAAACGCTGCAGAAAAGCATGTATTGAGTTTTTGCTGCATTTTTGCTGCATTTTAAGTCTGCCTAGCAAAAAGAACAATTAAAAAAATTAAAGAAAAAAAAATCAAAACGCATAAAAAAAAAGCAAAAATGTGTAAAAACACAGGTGCAAAACATGGGACAGGTTCACATCTGCGCATTTTCACCTGGTGCATTTATTGGAAAGCGTCAGTGGCTTTTTTTTACACAAAAAGTAGCATTTTTGGTTCTATAGACTTCAATGGAAACGCTGAAGAAAAGCGAGTATTGCATTTTTGCAGGTGCAAAACACAACGCAAAATGCAATGCAGGAACGCAACCTGCATAGGTGTGAACCTAGCCTCAGCCGGAGTGTCCAGAGGGATCTGCAGGGAGTTTTAATAAGAGAGAGACAATTTGAAGGGAAATGGCATTTGATCTTGCCCATAGTGAATTCTCATAGTGAATTGTGTGCTTTGGATGCATCCTGTATTAAAGTGGACTTAGCATCAGATATATTTTTATCATATTAATAGCATCCATGCTAAGTAATGTGTAAGCGTAACACTTCCAAGTATTTATTACCTGCTACATACATAACAATACTCCTGACCAGGGGTGGACTGACAACTCATGGGGCCCCCAGGCAATAGGGGATCATGGGGCTCCTGTGTCCTTGCCCAAGCTCAAGCCTATGAAAAAGGTACCAGGGGCATCTCATGGGGCCCCCTACTGACCCTGGGCCCTCGGCAGTGCCCAAGTTTCCAAATGGTCAGTCCGCCCCTGCTCCTGACAATGCTTGCATCAGCTTTTCTCTCCTGAAGAATGGAGCCATCTTTTTTGAGGCATCATACAGGGTCAACTATCTACTTCCTAGACTGAGATGCCAGGTCAGAGATGACATAGTTATGTGAATCCTGGTTCCTGTGCAGTTCTTGGCTGTGTTCACATACACCTGACACCGATCGTACAACTTCTTGCCTTGTGACTTGCTGTGAAGTTACAATGTTGCATTCTTGGGTAAGGGAGACTGAGGAAACCTTTCCTCTTGACCAGTGGTCTCCAAACTGTGGCCCTAGGGCCAGATGTGGCCCTTTCCTTGCCTTTATATGGTCCTTTGAGGCATTATTCCTGCCACTGACACCAAGAATGAGGCATAATTCCTGCTACTGACACCAAGAATGAGGAATAATTCCTGCCACTGACACCAAGAATGAGGCATAATTCCTGCTACTGACACCAAGAATGAGGCATACGTCCTGCTACTGACACCAAGAATGAGGAATAATTCCTGCCACTGACACCAAGAATGAGGCATAATTCCTGCTACTGACACCAAGAATGAGGCATAATTCCTGCTACTGACACCAAGAATGAGGCATAATTCCTGCTACTGACACCAAGAATGAGGCATAATTCCTGCCACTGACACCAAGAATGAGGCACTGTTCCTTCCACTTACACCAACGATGGGGCATAATTCCTTCCACTGACACCAACAATGGAGCACCATTCTCCTAGATTGTAAGCTCGAAAGAGCAGGGCCCTCGATCCCCTCATGTTTTGCATTGTATTGGTATTGTTCTGTCACATGTTCTGTCCCCTCTGTAATGTACAGTGCTGAGCGAACTATTGGCGCTTTATAAATACTGTATAATAATAATAATAATTCCTTCCACTTACAACGAAAACGATGAAACACATGGGGCACTAGTCCTTCTACTTACACCAATGATGGGGCACTATTCCTTCTACTTACACCAATGATGGGGCATAATTCCTTCCACTGGCACCAATGGGGCATTATTCCTCCCACTGGCACCAACCTTTTCTCCCCCTAATACAAAAGACCGGGTATTGTTTACTCCCACTGGGCTCACCAGGTCCCCCTAAATTCTGAAGGACAGTAAACTGGACCTTTCTTTGAAAGGTTTGGAGACCCCTGCTCTTGACTACTATAAATTGATATCTACATCTTAGCTCTGGCAAAGTCACAGGACTGGAGCTCAAGGATAGATTTTTAATAATAATAAAAGGTGTAGCTTTTTGTAAAGCATTATATTGATGCTGTGCATTGTGATATATTTAGGAAATTATTGATACAAACTTGTAAGGCTACTGAAATGGTCATTTCAAGGGCCCATTTGAATTATTTGTGCTGGGGTGCATTGGGGGTGCACTGGGCATTCCCAATACAAAGACAAATCAATTTGCCTTGTTTCCCATGGTATCTGTTTACATCACTGCATTGTGGGTACGGCATGCAGCGATTTTTTCAGTGCAGTGGGTTGTGACAAAAAGCCCCGCGCCCCAACACCGCGTATGAATAGAACTTAATGAAATGTCACTTGTGACTTCACAATAAAGTTTAAAAAAAAATAAAAAAAGAAACAACACAATGCGCCAATGTTCTCCCAGTGCACACCAGGGACCGTGCGACCAGTGCAGCTGCTGGTATGATTGTGCCCTAAAGGCATGCTCGCAATTGCCTGCATGCATGGGGTGTATTTACCACAAGGAAAATAGGCACTTGCCTAGGGCGGCATTTTTCTCCCCCCAGAAGAAGGGATGAAAGAAGGGACACATGCTCCATGGGAACCAAGTGGGATCCGAGAGAGGCTTCAGGCTGCTTAATGGTGTATGTAGAGCCTGACTCTCATTCCCGGAGATGAAGATGAGTGTCTTTCTCTCTATGGCCGGGGGGGGGGGGTAGTGGAAGGTTCTTCCAGGTGGGGGGCAGGGGTGTTGCTGGTCAATATCAGGCTTTCTCCATGAGAGGGGCGGGGTGGGGGGTTGGTGTTGGTCGGTGTCCGTGGGGGCAGACGATTTTTGTGTTGCCTAGGGCGGCACAAAACCTAAATACACCAATGCCTGCATGCACACTGGTGTATGTTAGGACTCATTCACATGAGTGGCCCAAGGGGTGGAGAAAGCAGCAGTTGAGCTGTGGTTTTACCTCCCCCCCACTGCTCACCTGAACAAGGGCAAGTTACTCAGGACTGCACACTTGCTACAATGCCTCGCTGTGGCAAAAATTGATCCAACATGTTACTTTTGGTTAGCATCACCACCACCCAGGGCCGGGACTAGGTGTGGGGGGCAACTGCCCAGGGCCCAGCAGTAGGGGAGGGCATATCCTCACCGCACAAAAGCTCCAATCAGTGGCTTGCAACCAGGGGCGGACTGAAAACTCATGGGGCCCCCGGGCAATAGGGGATCATGGGGCCCCTGTGTCCTTGCCCAAACTCAAAAAAGCCTATGAAAAAGGTACCAGGGGCATCTCATGGGGTCCCCTACTAACCCCAGGCCCTCGGGCGGAGGGGACAGTCCGCCCCTGTTTGCAACCAGAGGTCGCAGTTTCACATCTGCTCTGATAGCTATGCAGAGGCAGTGAACACTCCATAGCAACCAAGGACAGTTGGAGTAAGGGGGCAAAGAATGGGCACACAGTGGTAACCCATTCTATGGCATGCATTAGGAAGGGGGTGCAGATCTACATCTTTTGCCCTGGACACTGGGCGAACCTGTCTCAGTACTGCTGCCACCAAATATGATCCATACAAGTGAATGAGGTTGTGCCACAACTTCCCTGCAGCTGCATGCATTTGTGGCTTAGTGGAGCAACATTCTGAGGATTAAAACAGGCGGTAAAAAGGTGACATACCATCTTCTCACTGCCTGTCAGATGCCCTCGGAAAAGTGAGCCAGAGTGGATTGGTTATGTTAGCCACATGTGAATAAACCCTTGGGGTGAGGGACTATGCTATATCTCAGTTTACTTTTTTTCATTTATTTAAAATGTATTGAAATGACTCAAAATGAGTCTTAAAACCACTTTAGTGCCCGTTCACACCAGTGCAATTTCAGGTGTGAGTTGCGAATTGAAATTGCACCTGAAATCGCATCTAATGACTGTGAATGTCAGTGTCGTAACATTTGCGATTTGTTGCAGCACAATTTCTAAAGTAGTTCTTGCATTACTTTTTCTGCAGTTTTGTTGCAATTTCACATACATAGAATACAATGGAAATCGCACTGCAAATTGCAAGAAATCATTGAAAAACTTCACAAGTAGCAATAAAGTCTTCAGAAATTGCACCTGAAATCACATTGAAATTGCACACAAATTGTGCAATTTTAAACTGCAGTGGAGTGACCGGTGACTTATTCAGTTTTATGCACTACATCATTTTGTGATACGATGTGGGCATGTGCGTTGTGGTGAGCTGTGCCCCATAAAAATGCATACATTCTGCATTTTTATGCAGCTCACACCGCATCACATATATGATATAAACAGGGCATGATTGTTTTCTATGCACCCTTGTGTTGAGCCTGCCATGATCTATGCAGTTTAATGGAAATGGGGATTGATTTACTAAAAATGGAGAGTGCAAATTCTGGTGCAGCTGTGCATGGGAGCCAATCAGCTTCTAACTTCAGTTTGTTCAATTAAGCTTTAGCAAAAAAAAAAAATTTGGAAGCTGATTAGTTTCTATGCAGAGCTGCACCAGATTTTGCGCTCTCCAGCTTTAGTAAATTAACCCCCATGTCCATTGCAGGTGCTTTCAGTAGGCAAACTAGGTGGCCGCCTAGGGCGCTTTGCCACCTAGGGGTGCCGGGGCACAGCACAGGCCGGCACTCTCTCTGTGTGGGATGCCGCCATGTCATGAATGATCCTTCAACTGAGAGGAGGGGCGGCAGATGGGAGGAAGAAAGGGCAGAGGAAGATGGCGGGTATCCGGGGCCAGAGTAGCAACTGAGCTGCTTCTCCTTCCAGTGTTCCTCTCAGACTCAGTCCCTTACTGCAAGCTGGCTGGCAGCTGCTGATCACTGTGGAGTTCCAGCCCTTCATTTCCCATTCAGGGGCAAACTGACCATTTGGAAACTAGGGCACTGCCTGAGGGCCCAGGGTCAGAAGGGGACCCCATGAGATGCCCCATGATACTTTTTTAATAGGCTTTTTTGAGTTTGGGCAAGGACACAGGGGCCCCATGATCCCCTTTTGCCTGGGGGCCCCATGAGTTGTCAGTCTGACCTGTTCCCATTCATCAGTGGAGGTGGAGCTGTGCTTGCAGAAGAAGGTAATGTCTGTGAGTGTGACCATGCTGGCCATCATCACATGTGCAATGTGTCAATGAGTGATGACATTATGATCCCACAGCCTGCTCTTCTAGTGCCTGCTGGGACTGCTGATCTGTGTCAGTGTTGGTGGTGGTGTGTTGTGTTGGATCTGTCACTGTATGATATTGCTCAGTTTTATCTCCCCCCATTGTCTGGGGAATTCCAGCCTGGGATTTGTCAGAGTGTGGCTTCATCATCCTCCACTCACTGCAACTGTCAGCCTGCCACTGCCATCCACAGATACAGTCTGTCCATGACACTGATTTTATCTTTAATATCGGTGCTGGTGGCATCTTATGGCACCTATTTTTGCAAATTAAAAGAAATGTAGCAGTTTCATGTTTTGTTCATTTAATATTTTCTACTGTTTTAAAAAAAAAACATTTTTTTTTTTCTGGTGTGGGGAGCAAGTAGCTGGTCTTGCTTAGGGTGCAAAATAGTAGCACCAACCCTACCCATGTCCATTAAACTGCATATTAGATTGTAAGCTCCAAGGAGCAGGGCCCTCTAACCCCTTGTGTATCGCATTGTGGTGTCCGTTTATGAACCAGCGGTAATAGATCGCTGCTCAGTTCTCCGGCATTCTCGGAGAACACATTTCTCCTGTGAACGCAGTTTATGAAGCAGTTCTCCGAACGAAGGGAGAACGGTCTCCAAACGCTGGAGAACGGTCTACAAACTCTGGAAAACGGCTCATTTTACTATAATCTCGCGATATTACAGTAAAAGATCAGTTTACTAAGCAGAGGTAAATTATCTCTGCGTAGTTTGCGGTCCCTCTGATTCTCCAGCTCTGGGCTGGAGAATCTGGAGGGAGAACACAGATCTCCAGAGAAGGGCTGACATGATCTCCTGAGTGTCATAAACTCTGAATGACCAGAGAATAGCTGAGATCTGTTGAATCGCAGCTATTCTCTGTGTCATAAACGGACACCTGTATTGTTATTGTACTGTCGCATGTATTGTCTCCCATTGTAATGTACAGCGCTGAGGTGTCCGTTTATGAACCAGCGGTAATAGATCGCTGCTCAGTTCTCCGGCATTCTCGGAGAACACAGTTCTCATGTGAATGCAGTTTATGAAACAGTTCTCCGAACGAAGGTTGAACGGTCTCCAAACGCTGGAGAACGGTCTACAAACTCTGGAAAACGGCTGATTTTACGCGAGATGAAAAGATCAGTTTACTAAGCAGAGGTAATTATCGCTCTTAGTTTTTGCGAGATTACTCCAGTCTGGGCTGGAAAGACAACACAGATCTCAGTGAAGGGCTGACCTTTTATGCACAGAGAATAGCTGCGATTCAACAGATTCAGCTATTCTCTGGTCATTCACAGTTTATAACACTGGAGATCTGTCAGCCCTTCTCTGGAGATCTGTGTTCTCCGTCCGATTCTCCAGCCCAGAGCTGGAGAATCAGAGGGACCGAAAACTAAGCAGACCTCTGTTTAGTAAACTGGTCTTTTACTATAATCTGGAGAGATTATAGTAAAATGAGCCGTTTTTCAGAGTTTGTAGACATCCAGCGTTTGGAAGCCGTTCTCCCTGTTCGGAGAACTGTTTCATAAATTGTGCATGACACAGGAGAACTAGTTCTCCGAGAATCCGTTGAATCGAGCAGCGATCTATTACTCTGGTGGACACCTTTATCTCCTGATGTTATAAATTGTGAATGACCAGAGAATAGCTGAGCCGTGAATCGCAGCTATTCTCTGTGTCATAAATGGACACCTGCGAACTGTTGGCGCTTTAAATACTGTATAATAATAATAATAATAATATATCATGGCAGGCTCAACACAAGGGTGCGTAGAAAATCATCCTTTATCTTTAGTAAATCAACCCCATGGCATAAAGGAGCATTTTCAAAATAAATATATATAAATAGCAATAAAAAAAAAAAAAAAAAGGACATAAATATATAATTTAAAATCATAAAGCCAAAAAGGTTATAGGTAAAACTAAAAAAAAGAGGGAACAAAGGACAGGAGGATAACCTATTCAAACACCCTTCTGCCCAGGCCAAGCTGTCCAGCTCTGCTGACAATCCCTCTGAATTTTCTTCCAGTTCAGAGGAATCGTTCCTTTTGTCCTTGATCTCCATTCACTCCCCCCATTCTTCCCCCCCCCCCCACCCTAAACTATCACACACATTGAATGCCGCCTGGAAATTACCATTGCACATTTTCCACTCAGCAACCGGTTCTGGCGGTGCAAAAATAAGGTCTAAATAATGGCTGAATTAGCTCCACTGGACAGTTTCAGATGTAACACTTTGTAATAATTATATTGCAGGGCTGGATTAGGATGCTATTATCATAATCTGGACGTTTACAATTATCTGCAATTCGCAAAGATGCTCCAGGTCTTGATTACAGCAGCTTTTTTTTTTTTTTTTTTTTTTGTAAATCAAGCTAACCATCACTAAACAGTGACAGTAATAACGGCTAATTTTGCTGGCAATATAAGAGGTGCCGGGGTGTGCAAACAATCTCACACCTGGATCTGCTCGTTCAACCGAGACTGCACGTTATGCTTCTGCCCGAGACTGCGGAGCCTGTGCGGGGCGGCGGCTGGCGGCGGAGCGGTTATTGCCGGGGTAAGCGTCTTCTACCGACTGCCGGGGGACGCCTAGGGGGGACAAGAAGCCCTTCATGGGGAGGCAAGGAGCCCTTCCTGGGGGGGACAGGAAGCCCTTTATGGGAGAGGGGCAAGGAGCCCCTTATTAGGGGATAAAGAGCCCTTTCTAGGAGGAGACAAAGAGCTCTTCCTGGGGGGACAAGGTGCCCTTCCTGAGGGGGCAAGGAGCCCTTCTTGGGGGGACAAGGAGCACTTCATGTGGGGACAAGGAGCCCTTCTTGGGGGGACAAGGAGCAATTCATGTGGGGACAAGGAGTCCTTCTTGAGGGGGCAAGGAGCCCTTCATGGGGGGACAAGGAGTCCTTCTTGAGGGGACCCCTTCATGGGGGGACAATGAGTCCTTTCTGGGGGGCAAGGAGCCCCTTCTGAGGGGGCAAGCAGCCCTTGCTGGGGGGGAGGGGCAAGGAGCCCTTCATTTGGGGACAAGGAGCCCTTCATGGGTGGGGAAGGAGCCCTTCATGGGGGGGGGGGGGGCATAGCTTTCCCCAGCAGAGTTCTGCTGAGGATTGAGAAGCAGATCAGACTGGAGGGGTGAGGGGGTCCCTGAGCACTATAGGGTGGGCTTTGCTGTTCCATATTTATGGGGGAAAAATGCCGAAAAAAATGGACTAGGAGAGCTAGTTATGGGGCAGAGGGTTGACTTCCAGCAATGCCAGGGCTGTTGATCATAAGATTAATATTATTATTACTATTTTATTTTGACTGTTTACTATGTTTTTAAAAAATCGTATTATGCCAACCTTTGTGTGTGTGTTCTGTTCAGTGAGTGTTACATTACGAATTCGGTATATCTGTGTTCTTTGTAGAGTAATGTCCAACCTGTGGGCACTGTATACATGGAGTATGTGTACAGAATGTTTATTATTCAGTATATGTCGATGGAGAGGTGTGTTCAGTGTATGTATGGGTTCTGTAATGGGTAGTTATACTTTAGAGAAAGAAAGAAATAAATAAAGAAAGAAAAAGAAAGAAAGAAAGAAAGAAAGAAAGAAGAAAGAAAGAAGAAGGAGAGAGAGGGAGGGAGAGAGAGGGAGAGAGAGAGGGGGGGGGGGATAGAAGGGGAAAGAGTAAAAAGAAATATGGAGAGAGAAAGAGATAGAAGAGAGAGAGCAAGAGACAAAGAAATAGAAGAGAGAGAAAGAAAGAAAGAAAGAAAGAAAGAAAGAAAGAAAGAAAGAAAGAAAGAAAGAAAGAGAAAAGAAAGAAAGAGGAGAGAGAGCGTCGGAAAGAGAGTATAATGAAGGACAGAGAGAGAGAGAGGGAGAAATAGAAGAGAGAGAAGGGGAAAGAGAGTAAAAAGAAAGATGGAGAGAAAAAGAGGTAGAGAACAAGAGGCAAAGAAATAGAAGAGAGGGGGGGGGGGAAAGAAAGAAAGAAAGAAAGAAAGAAAGAAAGGAAATAAAGAAAAGAAAGAAAGAAGAAGGAGAGAGAGAAATAGAGGAGAGAGAAGGGGAAAGAGAGTAAAAAGAAAGGTGGAGAGAGAAAGAGTGAGAGAGAGAGAGAGAGAGAGACAGAGAGAGAGAAGCAATAGAGAGAGAAAAAAAGAAAGAAAGAAAAAGAAAGAAAGAAAGAAAGAAAGAAAGAAAAAAAAAAAAGTAGAAGAAAGAGGGAAAGAAGGGGGAAGAAGAGAGTAAAAAGGAGAGAAAATAGAGCCCTTTGCATGGACTGTTCCCCTATCCTCATTTACATTACCCCCCCCCCCCCCCCCCCCCCCCCCCCCCCCTTACCCCTTTCCCATACAAAGTGCTTTGGCAATGCTAAAATGTTATTTGGTCCTGCCAATAAAGCTCATCTGAAAGAGAGAGAGAGAGAGAGAGAGAGAGAGAGAGAGAGAGAGGGGGGGGCTGTTTATGATTTAGAATTGATCTTGTATTTATACTACTGGTATTTTATATGAATGCAATGCTTACTTAGTAGGCATGGATATAGTTATATATATATAAATAAAGATATAGTAGAGGGAGGGGAGCAGAGAGAGTGAGAGAGGGAAAGGAGATGTAGAGGAGAGAGAGAGAGAGAGAAAGAACGAGAAAAGAGAAGCTTACCCTTTAGGTGTACACGATGTATTGTGGTGTAATATAAAGATAAAGAAAAGGAAGGAGGCAGATCATGACAGAGAAAAAGAGAGACAGAGGAAAGGGAGAGAGAGAGAGGAGAGAAAGAAAGAAAGATAAAGTAAAAAGAATATATATAAATTATATGAAAAAAGATATAGAAGAGACGGTCAGTGAGAGAGCAAAAAGTGAGACAGAGGAAAGAGAGAGAAGAATAAAAAAAAAGAAGAGAGAAAGAGAGTGTGTGAGAAAGAGAGAAATGGGAATCACGTATTTTTTCCATTCACTGATGACAATATGGGGGTTATTTACTAAAACTGTAAGGTGTAATATCTGGTGCAGCTCTGCACAGAAGCCAATCAGCTTCCATGTTTTATTCTCAAAGCTTAATTGAACAAGCTGAAGTGAGAAGCTGATTGGCTCCCACACCCAACTTCCCCAGATTCTGAGTGCTCCAGATTTAGTAAACCTTCGGCAATATATTTTTCCCATTCACTGATGACAATGTTTTGCTCTTTGTACTGCCTGGCTTCTCCAGCAGCAGTCGTCCCCGTCCTCGACCTGTAGGTGGCGCTGTCTGCCGGGTGACTGGCACACACTGCCACAGCTCCAGAGACCATTCATGATCAGACTGTCAGATTATAAAACTCTCTATGCGCTTCATTAACCCCTTACCTGCTCAGAATGTCTCCTGCAGAATCCACCTTCATTCAATTGTGGGGGCACAGTGCTGCAGAAGACACGCTGGGACTTGTAGTCCCTGGTAGGATTTCTAACACCCCAGAATACAATGCATCCCCAATATCAATACCCAGAAGCAGCCCATCTCCCAACCTTGCCCATGTACAATTGTCTCCCTATTAATTGAAGGAATGGCCATTTCACCCTGAGAATAATGCCCCCCCCCCCCCTTCCTCCCAGCTGTAATCCCAGTACCTCTCCCTCTCTCTCCTTATCTCCTGGTATCATAATTCAGTTTAATTCTCAAATTTTAGGTCCCCCCCCCCCCCCCCACGAACTCCCCCATCTCTGCAATTTGTATATGAATAACAGAATCATTGCACTCTTTTGTTTCGCTTTTCCCCCTGTGCTGTATCTAAATAAAGATAGCTTTTTTACTATTAAAAGTGGGAGAAAAATTACAGGTAATTATCTTTGACGGTAAAAACGCTGTAATCAGCAGGCTACATGAAAAATTACTCTAATTATGGCGCATTTAAGAGAATGGGAGAAAGAGAAGGAGAGAGGAAAAAAATCGAGTGGAACCCTTTTTTCTATGTGGATAAAACGTTAAATTGTCCCCAATGTCTGTCTCACACTGGATGGGCTCTGCAGCTGTAAGGCTTTGTTCCCTTCAATGGGTCCTGGGGAGATGGAGACCCGAAGAGGCGCAGTGGGAAAAAAAATGTCGCAGCTTTTTTTTTTTTCTAGCGCTTAACAATGGCAGAGCCAGAAAATGACAAGCCTGGTCGTTTTATAAGCCATTTTTTGAAGACTGGCTGAGAGTGGAACCCTCTCAACAACACACACACACACACATATATATACACATAGAAAAAAAAAATCCCACCCTGATATGTTGGTAAGTAATCTTTGCTTTGTGCTTAATTATAGTGAATGTCCTTTTTTTTCAGGGCTGTGTGTGTCTGTCATTATATCGAACAGTCTATTGACTCCTGATAAATGCTTTGGGGTGGCTTCAAGGAAGGATGCCCAATTCTGCTGTATTAATTGTCCCAGCATGAGGCATCCTGCTCCAGTGACGAAATAAGGCTTTTATTGACAGTCCAGCTGAATGGTGCCTGGCTGGGGAGCAGACAGGGGGGAAAAAAGGGGGGAATGAACACCTGGGCCAGCGCTGCACTCTGCCTGCTCTGGCTTAAATGGTCCTGAGGCTGAGGAGGGAGCAAATGCTCCTGTCAACCAATCACCTCCTAGGTGAACCTTCCATCCTAAGTTCTGGAATTGAAATCTTGCATCTGATTGGCTGTTATGGGGCAACAGCAATCTTATTGTTTTCTGCCCTGTGCTGGTTTTGACTTAAGCTGGACATACACCATACAATCTGATTCTACAATCTCATTTAGAACTACTATGTAATGCAAGGGCCTATTCATTGCATGCATTGTTTAGGTTTGTCCTCATATTACATCATTTTGGTAAATGAAAAAGAGATTGCACAGTGTATGGCCAGCCTTAGATGCATGGTGATACTCCATAAAAAGAAAATATGTAGTTTACCAGGCACCTTACAATCTGATTGTACCATTTCCTTTTGGTTTACCAATAGCTATGGGCCTGCTTGATTGGGTATGGATTGATTAGCTTGTTTAGGTAGGTCCTCATATTATATAGCTTTGATAAATATAAAGGAGATTGTACAAAGATTGTATGTTTAGGTTGTAACATGTATGGTGAACTTAAGACAGATTTGTAATGAGCACACTTTAATGCTAACACATAGACAAACAGTATTTTCTATGATCTAGGCCGCATTTTCTATTTTTAATATTATTATTATCACTACTATTATTACTTTTAAGAATTCTTTAATTAAAGATTTTATATATATATATATATATATATATATATATATATATATACACACACATAACACACATAATATAATCTATATATATATATATATATATATATATACACACACACATAATCTATATATATATATATATATATATATATATATATATATATATATATATATATATATATATATACACATAATATATATATTGATTTTTCTCAGAGATTAAATACAAAAGTAGCATTTCTATTATTATTCTGATTATTAATATCTTTATTTTTTATATTAATAATGATTTGGTCATGTTTTGCAACACTAGCCTGAAATCTGTAGGCTAATTATATCTGTTGCCTATGACAAACCATATTATACCTTCTCTTTTTCAATCCATGGAGGCTGATTGGCTAAAGGAGTTGACAGTCTTCACTCAATAAATTGTAGCTGTGTTCAATTTAAATATCCATCCCAATGTGCAGATTAAATAAACAAAATTATTTTTTTTATATTATTGAACAACTGTAGTGCATCTTCCCTTCAGAAGTGAAAATTCTCAATTCCTTTAGTAAACCAGTGTCAGTTTTTAAGATCCTACTTTAGTCAAAGGCAAACAGAATATTCTGTGCAAAACTCTATTATTTTTTTTATTTTTCACATTTTTGTATTGATTTAAATTGTTGGTCTGGCATATGTAGCAAAACCAGAGCAGTTGCCAAGGGCAACCAGAGCAATCCTGTTTATTTTTAAATAAAAATTAAAGATATTTTCATTAGCCAAATCCAAACAGTTAATAGGCCAAATCCATTATTATTATTATTATTATTATGCATGGTTTAGCTTTTTATCTAAACTGGAACAATCACCTACAACAACCAACACAGGGGCGACTGACAACTCATGGGGCCTCCGGGCAATAGGGGATCATGGGGCCCCTGTGTCCTTGCCCAAACTCAAAAATGCCTATGAAAAAGGTACCAGGGGCATCTCATGGGGCCCCTACTGGCCCCGGGCCCTCGGGCAGTGCCCGAGTTTCCAAATGGTCAGTTCGCCCCTGAACCAACATAATACTAAAAGTGGTGCACTCACAATTTGCTCTGCATGGCAGCCAATCAGCTTCTAACTTCAACTTGGTTTCTATGCAGTGCTGCACCAGATTTCGCACCAGACGTTTTTAGTAAATAACCCTCAATAACTTCTCATGATTTTCCAAGGACTATTAAAACTTTTATTAGCCAAGACCCAAACAATATTTTCTGTGCTATTTTCTAATCAATTCTAATATTTTCCAATAATACAAAAAAAAAAATTTTTTTAATAGCAATATCATCATATGCTCTATTGGTGTTATTAAAAATATTGTGATTTATTATTATTATTTTTTTTTTTTTTTTGTGAAAAATGGAAACAGTTGCCTACAGCAACCCATACAATAGCTACCTAGTTGGACTAAAAAAAAACATGTTTTCCTTGCTCCAGTCTATTTGCTCCGCTTAACAAAAGCCAACCCTCCAATGCAAATGTTCCTCTTTTCTTCCCTTAGTTTTGTAGCCCATTAATATTTTTCCAAATAGACCATCATGGGCGAGATTAATAAATAGGACACTCAGAGCTTGTTCAGCAATGAATTCTTTTTTTCTCCATTTATGAAAGACAATAACATATAAAGTATATACAACTAAAATTCAACAATATATACATACATTTCATAATTATAAAGTCCCTGTATTTTTTTTTTTCTTTTTAAAGGTTGAGTCTTCTCACCTAATCTGCGACAATTCACAGTCTCTTTAGAAAAAAAAGTGGTTTATTTCACGGTAGCCAGACTGGTAGGTGAATGTGTGTTTTTTTGTTTTGCTTTTTGCACCTCAAGCAAAACGTACCGTTGCAGGAAACCAAAAAAAAAAAAAAACGCTCCTCTTCTCTGTCGCAACGCTGAAGCGCGTTTGTGCCGTTTTGCCTGCGTTTCCAACGTTTCCCTTTGTGGAGGGCCATCCATTGTGTTCCCCAAGATCAACGTCTTTTGAGATTTTTCAAGTTGTGTCTCTGAGGTTTCTTCAGAAGGAAGTGGAAAATAAAAAGCCTCCCCTTGTTCTCTTTCTGTCATTTTGGCAAAGAACTGTGTGAAGCCATTGCAGTCTGTGCGCAATAAAAAAAAAAAAATTGCAACCCTTGGAGCTGTCACATCATTTGCGACCTTTGCATTGTGTCCTGGTGTGGGGAAGAGTACCAGTGGGAATAACTAGGCATGTAGCTGTTTGGGGGGATATTCACCCCCTTTGCTGATGCTGTAACGTCCCAGACTGGGGGGATGGCTGGAGATCGGGGGGACAGGGCAGCAGAGCCTGGGAGGGGGGTCGTCGCTTTCAAGGGGGTTACCACCTTGTTTCAGCAGTTTCTTGTATTTGGATCGCTTGTTCTGGAACCAGATTTTCACCTGCGACAGAAAACCAAAAAAAAAAAGATAAGCATCAGCCAAACAACAAAGAGGCTCCCACAGCCCCATCCTTCATGAGCCTGCTAACACCTCACTGCACTAATCCAAAATCTGATGGATGTCTAATAGCAATTCAAGGGCACAAGCATCTCCAAATACCATTGCATCAATACCCAGTGCAAATAAGGGACCTTATAGTTAAAATATCAGGCTGTAGAGTGCAAAGAACATTCGATTTCTTAAAAAAAAAAAAACTAACCTAATGAATACATTAATTTAATAAATTAAATACATTTATTATCAGCCTGTAAAATGATTAAAGGTTGCTCTTTAAAGATATTATTTCATGAAATACATGACACCAACACAGCTTAGACTTTTTAATAATCAGGCTTATAATTACAATGAATTCAGTCGTTTTATTTTAGCAATAGGGGAGACACACCAGCAATTCCTGTTAAAAAGTAATAAAAAAGGCACTGGTGCAAATATAATGTTCAAAATTAAATATCTCTATCGCAGGTAAAACAATGTCTTCCTTTGAGTTGGAAATGTTGCCGTGCAAAAATAATTTTGAGGATGGAGAAAAAAAAAAAAGTCTAAAATTAATACTGGCAATCAATTCATTAGAGCCAATTATTTCTGCAAGTAAGTAATTATAGCAGGATGAGGACAGTATCCCTTTAACCACCATGCAGGGACTTGTAGTCCTGCAGCTGTCATTTTGAGAATGACTTGATTAGAGCAAAAAAAAAAAAAATCTAAGTGAAATTAATATTTAAATTCGATTCATTACAACTAATTTATTCTTAAGTAATTAACGTGGAGCTGACTGCAGCATCACTTTAACCACCATGCTGAGACTTGTAGTCCTGTAGCTGGGTGGCTTAATTGCCCTTTTTGGAATGACTTGATTAGAGTTAAAAAACAATCTAAGTAAAATAATATTGAAAATAAATTCATTAGAGCCAATTAATTCTGGAGTATTCAGAGCAGGGTTAACGACAGTATTCCTTTACTGCCATGCTGCCCCTTGTAGTCTGGCATCTGGTGGCTTAATTTCATTTTTGGAATTACTTGATTAGAGCAAAAAATTCTAAGTAAAATTACTATTAAAATGAATTCATTACAACCAATTAATTTTGAAGCAATTAGAGTAGGGGTGACTCTGGTATTCCTTTAACCTCCATGCTGGGACTTGTAGTCCTGCATTTTGGGTGGAATAATGGTCCATTTTGGAATGACCTGATTAGAGTAAAAAAAAAAATCTAAGTAAAATAATATAGAAAATACATTCATTAGAGCCAATTAATTCTGAAGTAATTAGAGCAGGGTTAACCACAGTATCCCATTAACCACCATGCTGGGTTTTGTAGTCCTGCAGCTGGGATGGCTTAGTGATCATTCTGAGAATGGCTTGATTATAGCAAATTAGGTCTAAGCAAAACAATACTGAAAATGAATTCATTAGAGCCAATTCATCCTGTAGTAATCATAGCAGGGTTACCCGCAGTATCCCTTTAACTGTCATGCTGAGACTTGTAGTCCAGCATCTGGGTGGCTTAATAGTCATTTTGAGAATGGCTAGAATAAAGCAAAAGCAATCAAAATAAAAATAATATTGAAATAGATGGAGCCAAATAATTCTGAAGTAATTAGAGCAGGGTTAACCACTGTAACCGCAATGCTGGGACTTGTAGTCCTGCAGCTGGGTGGATTAATGGCCATTTTAAGAATAATTTGAAGTACTTAGAGCAGGGTTAACCACTGTAACCGCAATGCTGGGACTTGTAGTTCCGCAGCTGGGTGGATTAATGGTCATTTTAAGAATAATTTGAAGTAATTAGAGCAGGGTTAACCATTGTAACCACAATGCTGGGACTTGTAGTCCTGCAGCTGGGTGGATTAATGGCCATTTGAAGAATAATTTGAAGTAATTAGAGCAGGGTTAACCACTGTAACTGCAATGCTGGGACTTGTAGTCCAGCAGCTGGGTGGATTAATGGCTATTTTAAGAATAATTTGAAGTAATTAGAGCAGGGTTAACCATTGTAACCGCAATGCTGGGACTTGCAGTCCTGCAGCTGGGTGAATTAATGGCCATTTTAAGAATAATTTGCTGAAAAAAAAAAAAAAAAAACAAATAATGCTGAACATGAATTCACTGGAGACAATTAATCAATTAATTACGTAGGAATTTGAGCAGCGTTAACAGCAGTGCCCCTTTAACCACCATGCTGGGCCTTGTAGTCCTGCAGCTGGGTGGATTAATGGCCATTTTAGGAATGATTTGACTTTTAAAAAATGAGGTAAAACTAATACTGAACATGAATTCACTGGAGACATTTAATCATGTAGTAATTAGAGCAGCGTTAACAGCGTTACACCTTTAACCGCCATGCTGGGCCTTGTAGTCCTGCAGCAGGGATGGCCTAATGGTCATTTTGAGAATAGCTTGATTATAGCAATTTAAGTTGAAGGAAAATTACACTGGAAATTAATTAATTAGAGCCAATTTATAAATGTAATAATTAGAGCAGGGTTAACTGTAGTATCCCTTTAACTGCCATGCTGGGCCTTGTAGTCCTGCAGCTGGGTGGATTAATGGTCATTTTAGGAATGACTTTATAAAAAAAAAAAAAAAAAACAAGTAAAGCTAATAATGAATATTAATTCACTGGAGACAAATAATTACGTAGTAATTAGAGCATCGTTAACAGCAGTGCCCCTTTAACTGCCATGCTGGGCCTTGTAGTCCTGCAGCTGGGTGGATTAATGGTCATTTTAGGAATGACTTTATAAAAAAAAAAACAAACAAACAAGTAAAGCTAATACTGAATATGAATTCACTGGAGACAAATAATTACGTAGTAATTAGAGCATTGTTAACAGCAGTACCCCTTTAACTGCCATGCTGGGCCTTGTAGTCCTGCAGCTGGGTGGATTAATGGTCATTTTAGGAATGATTTGAGTAAACAAAAAAAAAAAAAAATGAAGTAAAACTAATACTGAACATGAATTCAATGGAGACAAATAATTATGTAGTAATTAGAACAGCGTTAACAGCAGTACCCCCTGAAAACTGCCATGCTGGGCCTTGTAGTCCTTCAGCAGGGATGGCCTAATGGTCATTTTGAGAATGGCTTGATTATAGCAAATTAAGTCAAAGCAAAAAGAGACTGAAATAATTAGAGCCAATTCATTCTGTAGTAATTAGAGCAGGGTTATCTGCAGTATCCCTTTAACTGCCCTACTGGGACTTGTAGTCCTGCATCTTAATGGTCAGGAAAACCTTGTGTTGACTATTACATTTATAATGGAGGGACTGTCTTGTTTCCAATCAGCTATCTCAGTTCATAGACCTGACACTGCCCATCCGCTATAACACAGGGCAGTCACATATGGAGACAAAGCAGTCTACCCTTTGTGTATAACATATTGCCTCTTCCACATGTCCTCTGCAGATTAGTCATGTACAGGTATTTTTTCCTATGTTTTTTTGTATATAATACATTCTCAGAATTTTTTTTTTTTTTTTGTAGTGAATGAAAGAATTCAGTCTAGATGTCTGTTGGTCAACCAAAGGCCTACCTTCATTGCAGCGCAGGCCTAAACCTAATCTTCAGTGGTTAATATAATCAAAGCTTGCCTGAATATTACATTTTTGTCCTGTTTGTCAGGTAAAGCAATCATTAGCAATCCATTCTTTTGTCCTACTGCTTAAAGAAGCACTTATGATCAAAGCCCTTTGTGCTTCAAGCATGCAATTCTGCAGGCCATCCCCTGTCTGTAGGATAACCAAGGTGCTATAGGGCAGTCTAACCCCTTAGGCTTTAGTGTAGACATCAGGCAGAGCTGGCCAAAGCTGCCGTGGATTTTTACAGTCATACGTTTCATAAACACAAACCAATTCTGCCATTTAGAAAATCGTAAATCTGCAAAATATAACTGTGACCTCTATCTCTGAGAACAGGAAATACGCTTGCGTACTGTGTGCAACTGTTTGATTAGTTGGCAATGACATAACAGATGTGCGAAATGTGAACCCAATGACAAAAGAAATTACATTTTCTGGGGGTTTTTTTGGCAATTTTGGGCTGATACATGAGATTGTTTTCCTAAAAACGATGGCGATAAATTTATTTGGGAAGCTGTTATACATGCTTCAATCTGATTGTTCAATCAATTGAGGATTTACCAACAGTAATGTAAGGGTCTGCCAAAACAATAGATGCAATCGGGGAGATTTACTAAAACTGGAGCACTCAGAATCAGGAGCAGCTGTGCATGGCAGCCAATCAGCTTCTAACTTTAGCTTGTTCAATTAAGTTTTGACAATAAAACCTGGAAGCTGATTGGTTACTATGCACAGCTGCACCAGATTCTGTGTGCACCAGTTTTAGGTAAATCTACAGAAGATTGTTCCATCACATTAAAAGGTGTAGGACCGCTTTAGGACAGTCAACTCAAAGTTTCTTATGACCATTATTCCACATCCAAAGCTAACCATGGGTTATACAATTTAATTGTACAATCTCCTTTAGAGCTACCATAAACTGTATTTGCAAAGGCCTGGCTGACCAGATACTACTTAGGGAATTGTGGTAGCAAGATTCCAGGTTTGAGGTTCACCAAAGACATCAAGTGGCCATGATAGTGGTAATGGTAATGGTGAGGTAGTGGTAAAGTAGTGGTAATGGTAAGATATCGGAAAGGTAGTGGCAGGGACGGACTGACAACTCATGGGGCCCCGGGCAATAGGGGATCAGGGGGCCCCTGTGTCCTTGCCCAAACTCAAAAAAGCCTATGAAAAAGGTACCAGGGGCATCTCATGGGGCCCCCTACTGACCCCGGGCCCTCGGGCAATGCCCGAGTTTCCAAATGGTCAGTCCTCCCCTGGATAGTGGTAATGGTATTGGTAAGATAATGGTAAGGTAGTGGTAATGGTATTGGTAAGGTAATGGTAAGGTAGTGGTAATGGTATTGGTAAGGTAATGATAAGGTAGTAGTAATGGTAAGGTAGTGGTAATGGTATTGGTAAGATATTGGAAAGGTAGTGGTAATGGTATTGGTAAGGTAATTGTAAGGTAGTAGTAATGGTAAGTAATGGTAAGGTAGTGGTAATGGTATTGGTAAGATATTGGAAAGGTAGTGGTAATGGTATTGGTAAGGTAATTGTAAGGTAGTAGTAATGGTAAGGTAGTGGTAATGATATTGGTATTGGTAAGGTAACGGTAAGGTAGTAGTAATGGTAAGGTAGTGGTAATGGTATTGGTAAGGTAATGGTATTAGTAAGGTAATGGTAAGGTAGTGGTAACGGTATTGGTAAAATATAATAGGAACGGTAGTGGTAATGGTATTGGTAAGGTAATGGTAAGTTTAGTAGTAATGGTAAGGTAGTGGTAATGGTATTGGTAAGATAATGATAATAGTAAGTTAGTGGTATTGGTATTGATAAGGTATTGGTAATAGTATGGTAGTGGTAATGGTATTGGTAAGATAATGATAATAGTAAGTTAGTGGTATTGGTATTGATAAGGTATTGGTAATAGTATGGTAGTGGTAGTGGTATTGGTAAGATAATGATAATAGTAAGTTAGTGGTATTGGTATTGATAAGGTATTGGTAATAGTATGGTAGTGGTAATGGTATTGGTAAGGGAATGGTAAGGGAATTACATTACATTAAATTTGGCCTGATATTATAACATTTTAGTAAATCTAAAGGCGGTTGCATAGAGGTTGTACAATCAGATTGTATACTGTATGGCCATCTTCAGGGACATAGGCATTGGAAGATACTCTTACCTGCGTTTGAGTCAGGCCCAGGGAAGCAGCCAGCTCAGCCCTCTCTGGCAGGGCAAGATACTGCGTTTGTTGAAAACGATGGTTTAACGCTTGCAACTGAAGGCTGGAGTATATCGTCCTGGGTTTTCTGATCTTCTTGCCTTTACCATTGAACCTGATTTCCCCATTTTCAATGACTGTTGTTTTCTGCTGATCTAAAAGAGAATCCATTAGGAACATCATTAAAATTGGAGCAAAATTTAGAATCTGTCGCAACCCTGAAAAATCAAACGCATGATTTTTATGTCAACGCTGCTGGACGCACTAGGGAGCTGCTGAGGGTGTGCTAGTTTCTACAGTTCCCCAGCTTGTACTAGGCCTTGGCTAGCTGGACAGCTGGTGATGATGTTGCCTGTTTGTCGCTGTTATACCCATCCGTGCGAAACTGCGCACAGCCAACAAGCCTTTTTACACGGCTAATTGACTTTTTATGCAGCCAATTTGCTGCCCAGGGAGAAGGAGCAATTGCCCATTTCACTCAGTGCTTTTAAATGTCATATATCTTAAAATCAACTCATAAGACATTTGGGTGCTGCAAGCCTGGTCCTGTGCATTGGATACATATATATATATAAGACCTCAATCCCCTCATGTTTTGCATTGTATTGGTATTGTTCTGTCACATGTTCTGTCCCCCTTTGTAATGTACAGCGCTGAGTGAACTATTGGCGCTTTATAAATACTGTATAATAATAATAATAATATATATATATATATATATATATATATATAAATTTTCTAAATGAATTGAACCAAACTTGTACCAAAAATACTGTGTAATAGGCAATAATTCTTAGATGTTAACTAGGCCTTGTTCTGTGCACTGGACACAAAAAAAAAAAAAAAAAAAAAAAATATATATATACATTTTTCTTCTAAATTACTTGAAACCTATTGCTTCAGTAGTGGACCTTGCCTAACCTTGTGCATCGGCCACAGAATATTTATAGATAGATAGATGGATAGATTTTTCGACCCTAAATTATTTGAAGCCTATTGCTTCAGTCCTGGACATTGCCTACAGAATACATAGATAGATAGATAGATAGATAGATAGATAGATAGATAGATAGATAGATAGATAGATAGATGGATAGATATCTTTTCTCCCTTAATTACTTGAAGCCTATTGCTGCAGCCCTAATTCCTAGCTGCTGTTTAGCTAGGCCTGACTGGGATAAACATGGTTTTAAAATATGAGCCGAAAACACAAACAGCCCTCATTCATTTGCATAGCACTAAAGATGACATACATAGAAAAGGTACAACTGATAGATCAAAGCAACCTGACAGGCTGATTGACCAGACTCAATCCTATGTGTGATTTATTTTTTTTTTTTTTTTTTCCTCGAGTACAAAGGAACAATTCAGTCTGTGGTTGCTTATTTAAATCACTGGTGATAAAATTTCCATATCGATCTAGTCTATAAGGGTTTATCCTAATCACTCAGCAAATAAATAATTAAATATTGCATTATATTGGGGGGGGGGGGGGGATTATGACTGAGGCCATGGATGGAGACATACAAACTAACGTGCTTCATTTTGCTGCTATTTTTAATTATTTAATTAACGTCTGAAGGTGTAGCCAGGTATTAGGATGGGGTTAAAGAGTTTTCTTATGTAATTCATGGGGATAGAACATTGTAAATATATGTGTGCACATGTATATAATTAGCATATTTAATCTATGCAAGGACAGAGGTGAATATTTAACTAAGTACATTTTATTCTCAGTGAACCCATTGTTTTATAGTGTGTATGTATGAGAATCTAAATCTATATATCTTTATAATGTGTATGTGTTCATGTGTACAGACGCATATGCAAATACAATTTACACACATTACAAAAAAGTTTCTACATATATATATATATATATATATATATATATATATATATTTATTTTTTCCCCTATACATATATCACATAACTATCTATCTATCTATCTATCTATCTATCTATCTATCTATCTATCTATCTATCTATCAATCTATCTATTTATCTATCTTCCTATCTGTCTATTAATCTACATATATATACATATATCACATAACTATCTATCTATCTATCTATCTATCTATCTTATCCTATCTGTCTATTAATCTATATATATACATATATATATATATATATATATATATATATATATATATATATATAATATATATATATAACATATACATAGATATTGTAAATAAATATATGTAGCATATGGTTTGCATAATGTTTATGTGTGTACAAATTGATACACAAACACAAATAACTATATATATATATATATATATATATATATATATATATATAAAAAATATATATATATATAACAAACACACACACAACATATATATATATATATATATATATAAAATCTCTCAATCACATATAATATATAGAATATTATTCCATATAACATATCTATATAGACTGGATAGATGATAATCTGCTCAGCTGTATGTACTAACAATCTGTGGATGCCATCATTCAGCCTCTGGCTACAAAAAGCTTCCAGCAACCCAGCCAGTACTGGCCCAGTCCTTCCCCTCCTCCCCAACAACAACTGACTTGTCATTCTGGACCAGCAAGTCATAAATCACACCGCATTTTCAGACTGCTTTCCGCTCTGTACCGCTCAGCGTTATAAACAAAGCAGGAGCACACAATCCCTATTGCGGCAAAGCCCGACAGCAAACCAGTGCGAATAAATCGAAAAAAAAAAATTCCCGTCAATTCGCAGTTATTTCTGTTGAGGTCCCTATGGCTGGTTATAGAGGATAGACAGAAGAGATGGAGCTGCAATGTGACCTTCCAGCTTCACTTTGGAGGATGGGTGCTCGGTGCATCCAACTGCTACAAAAAATATTGGAGACAAATAATGTAGCAAAAAATAGCAGCCGGCAGATCATTATAAATCATTTGTTGAAGAATCCCATTCTGAGGTGGTTGTAGACAGTCGGTGAGAGGAAAAGATGGTGCAGGGTAGATCTCAGCTGGGTCTGGGCAGGCAGCAGGCAGGAGCTGCAGGGGTTGCGGTGCTTGGAGGGGGTGATGGGTGTTTGGAAGAGGGTGCAGGGGTTGTGATGATGGGTGTTTGGAAGAGGGTGCAGGGGTTGTGGTGATGGGTGTTTGGAAGAGGGTTCAGGGGTTGTGGTGATGGGTGTTTGGAAGAGGGTTCAGGGGTTGCGGTGCTTGGAGGGGGTGATGGGTGTTTGGAAGAGGGTGCAGGGGTTGTGGGGATGGGTGTTTGGAAGAGGGTGCAGGGGTCGTGGTGATAGGTATTTGGAAGAGGGTGCAGGGGTTGTGGTGATGGGTGTCTGGAAGAGGGTGCAGGGGTTGTGGTGCTTGGAGGGGAATGATAGGTGTTTAGAAGAGGGTGCAGGGGTTGTGGTGATGGGTATTCAGAAGAGGGTGCAGGGGTTGTGGTACTTGTGAGAGGGTGATGGGTGTTTTTAGAAGAAGGTGCAAGGGGCTGTGGTGCCTGGAGGGGGGTGATGGACATTTGGAAGAGGGTGCAGGGGTTGTGGTGATGAGTGTTTGGAAGAGGGTACAGGGGCTGTGGTGCTTGGAGGGGGTGATGGACATTTGGAAGAGGGTGCAGGGGTCTTGGGTTGCTGGATGCTTGGATACTGGATGCTTGGAATAGGTCCCATTACTTGGACAGAAATGCTGCTTGTTTGGAAGAGGGTGCAGGGGTCATGGTTGCTTAGAAAGGGGCGCTAGGTGCTTGGAAGAAGGTAGAGAGGTGCTTGGGGAAGGCTGAACTATGAGTGACACAAAGGAAGGCATGCAGGGTGCCGGTGTGCAGAATGAGAGGTGCAATAAATGGGGTGCTGATGGGCCATACACCATGTGGGGGTCAGGGGAAAGGGCTCAGGACAGGTAGCGGAATTAGTAAGGTAGGTAGCTGAACCGGTCTCCAGAAAGTAGGCAATAATGTGGAGAATAGAGAAGGGGGAAAAAAAAAAAAAAAAATAAATAAAAATTAGCTTCGCCTAGGTTTTATTCTTGCAGTGAGGATACAAAATGTGTCATACAAAAAGAAAAAAAAAAACATAATTAATAATTGGGGTTCAGCGTGTATAGGGCACAGTTGGGTGCACAGTGGGGGCAGCAGGGTGCAGGCAGTAATATGCAGCAGGGTGCAGGCTGAGAGCAAGGTTGGGGTAGTAGGGCGCTGATTAACTGTAGTGGGGTCTAGGGTGAGGATAGGATGCTGAGTGTATGCATTGCGGTGCAGGGTGATGTAAAGTGCGGAGTGCTCGGTAGGTAAAGTGGGGTGCAGGGTGCTCGGTGGGTACAGTGGGGTGCAGGGTGCTCGGTGGGTACAGTGGGGTGCAGGGTGCTCGGTGGGTACAGTGGGGGTGCAGGGTGCTTTGGTGGGTACAGTGGGGTGCAGGGTGCTTGGTGGGTACAGTGGGGTGCAGGGTGCTTGGTGGGTACAGTGGGGTGCAGGGTGCTCGGTGGGTACAGTAGGGTGCAGGGTGCTCGGTGGGTACAGTAGGGTGCAGGGTGCTCGGTGGGTACAGTGGGGTGCAGGGTACAGTGAGGTTTTGGGTGAATGTAGTAAGGTGTAAGGTGCAGATTGCTGGTTAAATGCAGTCGGGTGAAGAGTGCAATAGGGTGCAGGGTCGGTGAGGTGGGGTGCAGGATCGGTGCAGTGGGGTGCAGGATCGGTGCAGTGGGGTGCAAGGTCGGTGCAGTAGGATGGTAGGTGCAGGGTCGGTGGAAGGTGCAGGGTCGGTGCAGTAGGATCGAAGGTGCAGGGTCGGTGGAAGGTGCAGGGTCGGTGCAGTAACATGGAAGGTGCAGGGTCGGTGAAAGGTGGAGGGTCGGTGGAAGGTGTAGGATCGGTGCAGGGTCGGTACAGTAGGATGGAAGGTACAGGGTCGGTGGAAGGTGCAGGGTCGGTGGAAGCTGTAGGATCGGTGCAGGGTCTGTACAGTAGGATGGAAGGTGCAGGGTCGGTGGAAGGTGCAGGGTCGGTGCAGGATCGGTGCAGGGTCGGTACAGTAGGATGGAAGGTGCAGGGTCGGTGGAAGGTGCAGGGTCGGTGGAAGGTGTAGGATCGGTGCAGGGTCGGAGGAAGAAGCAGGGTCGGTGGAAGGTGTAGGATCGGTGCAGGGTCGGAGGAAGAAGCAGGGTCGGTGGAAGGTGTAGGATCGGTGCAGGATCGGTGCAGGGTCGGTGCAGTAGTCGGAGGGCAGACAAAGCAGCTGCAGAGCTGAGGGCGGGGTGCAGCAGGCTGCGGGTGGCTGCGGGTGGCCGCCCGCCCGCTCTCTCTCTCTCACCTGGATCTTCTGCTCGGGTCTGGGTGGCCGTGCTGCTGGAACTGTTGCTGTTGTTGTAGGACTGCAGGTAGGGACTGTGCTGGCTCATGTACGGATAGGCGGCCAAGGAGCGGCCGTAACTGGGAGTTGGTGGCCGGGTAGGACGAGCTGTCGTGCTGGTGGTGGTGGTGGTGGTGAGGGTGGGAGCCGGAGTGCAGGCAGTGCAGCGGGTAGTGGCTGGCAGCCATAGCCGGAGAGCTCTGCTGGGAGTGGGAGGACTGCTGACCAAACTCCATAAAGGCAGACTTGGACGAGTCCTGAGCTTCCAAGCCGTCAGCCATCGTAGTCATGGTCATCATCAAACTTTGTGATTGAGAGCAATCAACCCCCTCCCACCCCTCTGAGGCCACCTACCCTATAAATTAGTGTAATCCCCCCTTCCTTCCTCACTACTGACAGGCCTGCATGGAGGAGCCCTGCTGCTGCTGCTGCTCTCTCTTCTTCTTTTTCTTCTTCCCTCTATTCTTTTTTTTTTTCCTCCTTTTTTTTTTTCCTTGCTTGTTGTGATATTATTTTATCCCCCCCTATTTCTCATTGTTTGGGTTGTGCAGTCAGTGCAGAGATTTAAAGGTGGAATCTGTTAAAGTTCAGCTCCTGCTTTTAGACTTAGACTGAGTCGAATGGTTTGTCTCCAAAGGGCAGCGCCTCCCGATTGGTCATTCAACCCCTGACGTCACAATCCCTCTGCTTCTACTGGCGTTTGTTTCCTGAGCCCACCTTTCAGAGACTCAGCTCCCAGTCAAGGCTCCCCTTACACACTGCACTCATAATAATAACAATAATAATAATCATGCAATAAAAATAATAATACTATTATGCAGCAACAGTTATATACAGGCACACTAATATAAAGAATAATAAAATATTTAATATCATTTAATATTGTTTATGTATAAATATACACTGCACTCATAATAATAACAACAATAATAATAATGTAATAAAAATAATAATACTATTATGCAGAAACAGTTATATACATACACACTAATATAAAAGAATAATAAAAATATTTAATATAATTAATTATTGTTTATTTATATATAACTATGCACTGCACTCATAATAATAACTACAATAATAATAACAATAATAATAATCATGCAATAAAAATAATAATACTATTATGCAGCAAACAGTTATATATATGCACACTAATATAAAGAATAATAAAATATTTAATATAATTTAATATTGTTTTATGTATAAATAATATACACTGCACTCATAATAATAACAACAATAATAATAATAATAATGTAATAAAAATAATAATACTATTATGCAGAAACAGTTATATACATACACACTAATATAAAGAATAATAAAATATTTAATACAATTAATTAAGAAATATATATATATATATATAAACTATACACTGCACTCATAATAATAACTACAATAATAATAATCATGTATTAAAAAATAACAATACTATTATGCAGAAACAGTTATATTACATACACACTAATATAAAAGAATAATACAATATTTAATATAATTTAATATTGTTTATTTATACATAACTATGCACTGCACTCATAATAAAATTAAATAATTAATAATAATAATAATAAATAAATAATAATAATAATATCACCATCATGTAATAAAAAATAACAATACTTTTATGCAGCAACAGTATATATACATACACACTAATATAAAGAATATTAAAATATTTAATACAAGTTAATATTGTTTACATATATACACACTGCACTCATAATAATAAAAATAAATAATCATGCAATAAAAATAATAATACTATTATGTAGCAACACTTATATACATACACACTAATATAAAGAATATTTAAAATACTTAATAAATAAATTTAATATAAGGATTATATATATATATATATATAATATATATATGTGTAAATAAATAAATGTAAATTATATGTTAAATGTATAATACAATTTTTATATATATAATATAATATATATATATAAATACATATGATTTGGTAATGTGTGTGTTTATAATAAATATATATATATATATATATATATATATATATATATATATATATATATGTCAATTAATGATAGGCCATGCCATTATGAAAATCAAAAAATGTATTTGCCAAATTAGCAGCCACAATTTTATATATATATATATATATATATATATATATATATTATCCACAATTTTATATATATATATTATATATATATAATAAATATTTTTTTTTTGTATGTATAATTTTGTATTGTACACACACACAGCACACATATATATTTTTTTATTATTATTATTTTAAATACTATTATTATTATGTCAGTAAATGTATATAAAACACTTCCTCACTGCTGATAGGCCATGCCATTTTGAACCAAAAACAAAAATGCATTAACCAATTATCAGCTACAATTTTGCACTAATAACTAACAATATTTAAATAAAGACACTCATCCAAATCTTTGCCTGAAGCTTAGGCTTTGCAAACGTTGGCAAATCGTATTGCAAAAAAAAAAACTATTCATTATAATCAGGTGACTTGATTAAAAAAAATACATTAACCAATTAGCAGGCAGTATTTGCCCCAATAACCAAATTATATTAAAAATAGACAAGGATCCAAATCCTGCTTGGAAGACTTTTGCAAGTTTTGCAAACGTTGGCAAACCTTATTCCTGTTGCAAAAACACTATTTATTATAATCAGGTGACTTGATTTTAAATAAATACATTAACCAATTAGCAGACACTATTTGTACCAATAACCAAGTATATAAAAATAGAGAATAATCTATGTCTTGCCTGGAAGTCTAGGCTTTGCAAATTTGGCAAATGTTCTTGTAAAAACACTATTCACTATAATCAGGTGATTGATTTTTTTTAAATACATTAACCAATTAGCAGCCACTATTTATACCAATAACCAAGAATATTAAAAAAAGATCTTCATCCAAGCCCTGCCTGGAAGTCTAAGCTTTGCAAAATTTGCTAACGTTGGCAAATGTTGGTGTCAAAACACCATTCATCATAATCAAATGACCTGAAAAAATACATTAAAGAATTAGCAGCCACCATTCGCACCAATAATCAAAAATATAAAAAAAATAAACTTTCATTCACGTCTTGCCTGGAAGTCTGGGCTTTGCAAAATTTTGCCAACGTTAGCAAATTTTGTTGCAAAAACCACTATTACTAGCGATCAGCTGATCTGATTAAAAAAAAAATGCATTAACCAATTAGCAGCCACCCTTTGGCATCTGTACTCAAATAAACAAAAACAGTCCTGTCTGAGCTGTCAGGCTTGGCAAGTTTTGGTGCATCTTTTTCTTTTTTTTTTTTTACGCCATTAAAAAAAAAAAAAAAAAGCCCAAATGATAATCAGGCGACTTTAGACTGAGATCTAGGATTCACTGACAGATCTGCTGTGTTCAAAGAGAACAGGAGCTGCTAGCCAGCTTGTAATGTCATTCAATGTATGCAAATGATGTATATGTGGTTAGTGGTTTTTTGGAGGATTTATGATCATTGTAGGCTGTGCACTGGAAAAGAAAAAAAAAAAAGGGAAAAGTGAGATTCCTCATCTGTATGGCAATCCCAATATATTTTACTTTATTGCCAACATCGTTAATGATAAATATAGAGCCTCTTGCACAGGTATTTTTTTTTGCAATGGCAGGGAGAGCAATTAGACTTTAATCAGGAATACACACACACACATACACACACATACATGCACATAAAAAAAATATCTTTCCCATGATTAACTGCAGTACTTTGTTCAAATTGCTACTATAAAATTCAGAACAATTTGCTTGTAATGATTATGGACTGGGTTTATTTTGGGAGGTGGAATAAAAGTGGATATAGCATAAATTATCCCCTAATTATACACCACTGTCGCCTCAATTATCCTCTTATCAAAACGGTTGTCTAACTGCAGCATTTTGTTTCACTTTTTCTTTCCTTTTTTTTTTTTTTTTTTTTTATAAAAAGAATCCCATACCTTATTATTATTAATCCACTTATTATTTGCAAGGGGGTTTTATATGGGAAGATCTGCTGCGCCGGTCCCCAGTCGGTTGCCTAGATGGACTGGAGGCGAGACACCAAAGGTTCCCCCAGCGCAAGGGACTCAGCTTTGTGTGGCCCCCCAAATCTCAGGGCTACCCTAGGGCCCCAGGCTAATGGCCTCCGCCAGGAGTGACAGGTAGAGCTAGCTGTGGGTGAACGCTGCGCTGACGGAGGGCAAAAGGATCAACGCTGGAGCAACGCAGGCTATACAATGTCCAGCAGACCTAGAGAGAATATGAAGTGCGGATCTAGGATTTGTATAAGATTTTAAGTCTATAATTTATTTTGCATGTCTGAACTGTATATGCATGTGCCTTTGTATCAGAGAGGGGTGAAATTACTATGTGATTTTACTACTGTTTAATTTTCACTGTTATAAGTGCAAAATGTATGATTGATTTGGTGAAATTGTGCGAAATATTTACTTATTTATGTCTGTGCTTATAGAATCCCTGCTATAGAGACCAACTAGAAATATGCACAGATCCTATCTATCTATCTATCTATCTATCTATCTATCTGCCATCTATCATCTATCTATCTCCATATCTATTGATCTAGCATCTCTGTATTATGCATGTAGTAAATAATATAATAAGATAGACAGATATGTAGATAATAGATAATTGATAATAAGATAGACAGATATATATATAGATAGATAGATAGATAGATAGATAGATAGATAGATATATTATAATGTGTACTATATATATAATGACAGAGCTGAAATGTATACTGTTAATGGAAGGATCGAAACCTATCTCAGTTTTTTCCAGGATCGAATAGAAAATAGTTATGGAATACTAATAATATATATATATATATATATATATATATATACATATATATATATATATATATATATATATATATATATAGAGAAGGACAGCTAAACAAAAAGACAGGCACAGATAAATATAATGATGTGCTACATATATATAGTATGAAGCCGTAATGTAAACATATGGAAGGATAGAGACACCTATATCAATTGTCCCAGGACAGACTAGAAAATAGCTATATATATATATATATATATATATATATATATATATATAATACAGATCTGCTAATGGTGATTATATATATATGTATATATATAGAGAGATCTGCTAATGTAATATATATATATATATATATATATATATATATGTGTGTGTTGTGTATATGTATATATATATATATATATATATGTGTGTGTGTGTATGTGTATATAGATATATATAGATAGACAAAC